TGGAAGATAACCTAGGCAATACCATTCTGGACATAGGAACAGACAAAGATTTCGTGGCAAAGATCCCAAAAGCAATTGTAACAAAAGCAAAAATTGACAGATGGGACATGGTTAAACTAAAGGGCTCTGCACAGCAAAAGAAACTAGCAACAGAGTAAACAGACAACCTATAGAATGGGAAAAAATATTTGTAAACTCTGCATCTGACAAAGTCTAATATCCAGAATCTATAAGGAACTTAAATAAGCTAACAAGCAAAAAACAAACAACACAATTAAAAAGTGGAAAAAGGACATGAATAGACACTTTTCAAAAGAAGATATACACGTGGCTAACTAACAAGCATATGAAAAAATGTTCAACATCACTTCTCATTAGAGAAATGCAAATCAAAACCACAACGAGATACTATCTCACATCAGTCAGAATAGCTATTATTAAAAAGTCAAAAAGTAACAGATGTTGGTGAGGTTGCAAACAAAGGGGAACGCTTGTACACTGCTGGTAGGAATGTAAATTAGTTCAGCCATTGTGGAAAGCAGTTTGGCAATATCTCAAATAACTTAAATCAGAACTACCATTGACTCAGCCATTCCGTTATTGGTTATATACCCAAAGGAATCTAAAGCATTCTGTCATAAAGACATATATACACAAATGTTCACGGCAGCACTATTCACAATAGCAAAGTCATAGAATCAAACTAAATGTCCATCAGTGGTAGAATGGATAAAGAAAATGTGGCAGCCGGGTGTGGTGGCTCATGCCTATAATCCCAGCACTTTGGGAGGCCGAGGCGGTGGATCACCTGAGGTCAGGAGTTTGAACCCAGCCTGGCCGACATGGTGAAACCCCATCTCTGCTAAAAATACAAAACTTAGCTGGGCGTGGTGGCAAGCGCCTGTAATCCCAGCTACTTGGGAGGCCTAGGTAGGAGAATCGCTTGAACCTGGAAGGTGGTGGTTGCAGTGAGCAGTGATCGTGCCACTGCACTCCAGCCTGGGCAACTAAGCGAGAGTCTGCCTCAAAAAAAAAAAAAAAAGAAAAGAAAAGAAAATGTGGCACATATACACCATGGAATACTATGCAGCCATAAAAAAGAATGGAATCATGTCCTGTGCAGCAACATGGATGGAACTGGAAACCATTATCCTAAATGAACTCATTCAGAAACAGAAAACCAAATATCACATGTTCTCACTTATAAGTAGAAGCTAAACATTGAGTACACGTGGTTACAAAGAAGGGAACCACAGACACTGGGGCCTACCTGAGGTTGGAGCATGGAAGGAGGGTGAGGATCGAAAAACTACCTACCTGGTACTATGCTTTTTATCTGAATGATGAAATAATCTGTACAACAAACCCTCGTGACATGCAGTTTACCTGTATAACAAGCCTGCACATGTGCCCCCGAACCTAAAAAAAATAAGTTAAAAGAAAAACGTTTGGACTATTTTCCTCCTTTCGAACAAAGACAATGGTTTGCCCAAGGACTACAAATAAACAAGGGGAAAAAAGAAAGGTTCCAGTTTTGTCTGAAAATTCTGATTAAACCTCTGGGCCCTGCAGCCTGGAGAACCTGGAGAACTCCTACACCCACAGAACCCGGCTTTGTCCGCAAAGAATAAAAACACCTTTCTAAAAGCTGCTCTTCCACCTTTCTTTGGGTTCTGCCCTGGTTTTCTAGGGCCAGGGATGGCCACAACCGGGATCCCAGGATGAGGGCAGTGCTCAGGGAAAGGGGAGCACAAGGTGTTGAGGGAGGGAGAAAGAAAGGAGGCTGGGACAGTGGGTAAGGGCCAGGTGAAGTGGAGAGGCGCGGCTTCGAAGCCTTCAGGCAGGGAGAGTGGCTGGGGGAAGCCTAGCGATGCAACCTATCCAGCCGCAAACGCACACTCCCACCTTTCTGCCTGGGCTTTGAGGAGACCCAATTAGGGCACCCGCCTCTGCTAGGGGAGGAAAATAGGTGGATAGGACGTCTTTAGATTTCCCTCCCTGGTTGGTAGCTGTGTGATATGGTGGACCAACCCTGGGTTCGAATCCCACCTCCCCACTTCCTACACATTCTCATTGGGAAACTTTATGCACCTTCCAACACCTCCGTCTCCGTATTTGCGAAATGGATGTGTTTGTATTCCTACCTTCCTTGACGGGAAGGTGGAAGCAGTTCTCTGGCTTTGTCTTGCCCAGGTAAGTCTGGTGCTTAAGGCTTTCCTTTGGGAGCCTTGTCTAAAGAGAGGAAAGTGGACCCGAGGGCTGAGCACGCTGCGGCGGCTTCGATTTAAAAAAAAACCCGGGGCTGGGTCAGGATGGGAAAGGCAGCGAACTGAACGGGCTTGAGCCCCAAGTTTGGGGCTGAACGTCTTCCCTGCGTGCAGAAGGAAGGGCAGAAGCATGCCATCCTCACCTGGAGCGCCGGCCGAGCCTCCCGCCTCCCAGCGCCTGGCCAGGGCCCCGTCCGGCCCTCTGCACGTGGGATCCACTGACCTGGCAACTGTAGGTTTGGGACTGAGGCCTGGGGGCAGGAACAGAGTCTTGCAGGTGGCGGCGCGTCACAAAGGCGGCCCGAGGTTGGCATTTAGCCTGGGCCAGAGCAAGGCGCAGACCCCGGGCGCCCACGGAGTTGGCATCGGAGCAGCAGCTGCGCGGGCGTAGCAGGCAGGCGCGCTCGCAGTCCCCGCAGCCCAAACTGGGCGCAGCCCGAGCAGGGCTCAGCGAACGGGTAACGGGCGAGCGTGGGCGGGAGCAGGCTGGGGTGGCGGTGGGACGCCCCGAGGCCGGCGTAGGGGAGGCGGGCTGCTCTCATCACCTCCTCTGGGAAGGGTCTTTGGCTGCAGGAGTTGCCGGGCCAACTCTCCTCCCGCGGTGGGTAGGATATCTTTAGATTTCCCTCCCTGATTGGCAGCTGTGTGATATGGTGGAACAACCCTGGGTTCGAATCCCATCTCCCCACTTACTACACGTTCTCCCTGGGAAACTTCAATCACCTTCCAACACCTCCGTTTCCGTATTTGTGAAATGGATGTGTTTGTATTCCTACCTTCCTTGACGCGACGTTGCAGAAGTACCTGAGCACCCACTTTCTTCTTAATGGCCGCCAGCTCTTGTACAGCGTTTACTGTGGGGTAGGCACTGTTCCTGGTGCTTTCCAGGTATCAGCTCACTTAATCCTCCCAACACTTAGGAGAAAGGCACTATTACTACCCCATTTACAGATATGAGGACTCAGACACAAAGCAGTGGACTTGCCTAAGGTCATCCGACTGCAATGGGCATAGCTAGGATCCAACCCACTAAGCTACACTGCCTCTGATGGGGTCTGGGGGGATAAGGGGAGGCTCCCAGGCATTAAATAGGACTTCGAGTCTCCTTGCAGCTACTCTTCCAGACAAACATATTCTTCCAACCCCACCCTACGGCACCAGCGTCTGATGATTTTTCTCACCTATGACCTTGCTGGCCAAAAGGCTTCATGGAGCTTTTATTTATTTATTTTATTATACTTTAAGTTCTGGGATGCACGTGCAGAACGTGCAGGTTTGTTACATAGGTATACATGTGCCATGGTGGTTTGCTGCACCCATCAACCCGTCATCTAGGTTTTAAGGCCCGCATGCATTAGGTATTTGTCCTAATGCTCTCCCTCCCCTTGCCCCCCACCCCCCAACAGGCCCCAGTGTGTGATGTTCCCCTCCCTGTGTCCATGTGTCCTCATTGTTCAGCTCCCACTTATGAGTGAGAACATGTGGTGGTCGGTTTTCTGTTCCTGCGTTAGTTTGCTGAGAATGATGGCTTCCAGCTTCATCCATGTCCCTGCAAAGGACATGAACTCATTCTTTTTTATGGCTGCATAGTATTCCATGGTGTATATGTGCCACATTTTCTTAATCCTGTTGATCGTTGATGGGCGTTTGAGTTGGTTCCAAGTCTTCGCTTTGTGGAGCTTTTAAGTTGGATTCTCTCTTCTGCAGCACCTTTTAGGAGCTTTGCTTGGAGTGCTGTGGAGGCCCCTAGCCTTGTGCAGTTCACAAGTGGTTGAAGAGACCTATTTCTTCATTTGTTAAATGTTTAAGTAACTTCTTAAAAGCAGAAGGAGGACGTCAAGGGGTGTGTGGGTCCCTTGGGAGAAAAGGCAAGGACACAGATTATAGGTCAGACACTTTCCAGACTTCCCCACCTCTTCCTTCAACAGTTACCAAATCATGTCTTCTAAAGAACTCGCAAACACATCCCCATTCCCGCCACAATGCCGGGATTCTGCTCTTGACCATCCTTCCTCTACCCACCCTCCCCCTAGAGTGTCCTTTCCACACTTCAAAACTCACCACGTGGCTTCCAGACATGTGACCCATCAACCTTCATGGCTCTCCGTGACCTCAGCTGGGGTTTTCCACCCTGTTCTGCTGTTACACCTCTTGAATGTAAACACATCTGTCCACAATGTAGCTAGATACCGGAAGGGGACAGGCCATGCCAGTTTTCCAAAATCTTGGGGAAATGGGAAGTGGGACTCTCTGGCCTCTAGGACATAATCTTTATCCCTTCACTCAGGACCCCTTGATCCAGCACCTCCCACTGCTCCCACGTGATCCAGTTCCTCCATTTCCAGCCCACGTAACAAGTGCCAGATGACCAAACCATTTTTCGTTCCCTGAACGGGAACATATCACATACATTCACAGTTCTTTTTTTTTTTTTTGAGATGGAGTTTCACTCTTGTTGCCCAGGCTGGAGTGCAATGGCACAATCTCAGCTCACAGCAACCTCCACTTCCTCAGCTCAAGCGATTCTCCTGCCTCAGCCTCCCAAGTAGCTAGGATTACAGGCATGCACCATCATGCCTGGCTAATTTTGTATTTTTTTAGTAGAGACAGGGTTTCTCCATGTTGGTCAGGCTGGTCTCGAACTCCCAACCTCAGGTGATCCGCCCGCCTCGGCCTCCCAAAGCGCTGGGATTACAGGCATGAGCCACCATGCCTGGCTCACAGTTCTGTGGCTTTGCACATGTTGTTCCCTCTGCCCAGAATGCATCAGTTCCTCCACCACTACCACTAGGCCCACCTGATCTGCCTCACAAATCCTACTCATCCTTCAAAACCCAACTCAGACGTCACCTCCTCTGAGCAGCCCTCTCTACTTCCAAACACTGTATTTAGCCAAACAGAGTAAGTCACCCTCCATGTGTGCTACCCCGCACTAGAGTCTGCCTGAACCTTCCCACTCTCTCACAGGGTTATAATTGAGTACTGGTCTGTATCCCTGGATAGACTGTGAAATCCTTGCAGGTGTGGACTGTCTCATGAATGTATCATTGAACCACCCACACCTAGCACAGTGCCTAATGCACTTGGGACCACAGGGAAAGCTGGTTCATTTGAGTTTCGTCTCTGTTTGACAGATAATGGCTCTTCTTTTTTACTCCCCACAGAAAGCAAGTGATTGCTTTCCTTTCCTCATTTTTGGAAGCCCTGCCTAACACACAGCTGCACTCTACATCCCAGTTCCTGGATGGATGAAGAAAGTGAACTGATCCAGCCCCAAGACCAGAGCTGCTGGGCCACTCTGCCCGATGTGTGTCTGTGCCGTGTTTTCTGGTGGCTAGGAGACAGGGACAGGTCCAGGGCTGCTCTTGTCTGCAGAAAGTGGAACCAGATGATGTATTCTGCTGACCTCTGGCGGTACAGGACCATCACCTTCAGCGGGAGACCTTCCAGGGTACATGCATCTGAAGTTGAGTCAGCTCTTTGGTATGTTAAGAAGTTTGGTCGTTATCTGGAGCGCCTGGAGGTCAAATTCCTGAATCCTTACAATGCTGTCTTGACCAAGAAGTTCCAGGTCACCATGCGGGGCCTCCTGTCTTGTCTGAGTAAGAGCAACAACCGTCTGAAATCTCTTTCCATCCAACACCTGGAGCTGGACCGCCTGGTGTGGAGGAACAGCATCAGGAGCTCATTCATCAGGAGCTTGAGCTTCTTCTTAAAGAAGATGGGCAAACACCTGGATTACCTCAACCTAAAAGGGGCCAGGCTGACCGTGGAGCAAGGCTGCCACATTCTCGACTCCCTCAGCCACCTGAGGAATGAGAATGTGATCTCAGAACTCAACATCGAGGACTACTTCAGTCATCACCTTGCTGTCTACAGCAGCCCCCAGTTCAAAAAGACCATGTCCACATTCCACAATCTTGTGTCCCTGAACCTCAACTACAACTGTATCTCCGACGAGCTGCTTGAGAACTTGTGTGAGAACGCCAGCACCCTCTGGACCATAAACATCAAATGCCACATTCATGACCCCCACGGACAGGTCATCTGGGGTATGTCCTGGGCCAAGCTGGCCAGGCAGGCCACCAATCTGAAGGTGAACTTCTACTTTGAACGGATCATGAAGTACGAACGCTTGGCCCGAATCCTCTTGCAGGAGATCCCAGTCAGGAGCATCAGTCTGAGAAGCTGCTATTTCAGTGACCCAGACTGGTCCATGAGACCCACTCTGATAGATCTCCTGCCCACCTTCCGGCACACTCTGCAGGTAGGTAGGACTTGTGAGGAGTGACTGCTGTTTAGGTGACTGGCTTCCCCAGAAGAAAGCCCACTGCTGCCTGCTCTTGGCTGGGTTCCCAAATGTTCACTCAATCTCAAATTGAAGTTCTAGCAAATATCACCAACTAAGCCTTCTCCCCTCCTCCCAAGACCACAGTAGGCAACAAAAGCTGCTACTCACTTCCTACATGTGGTAGACACAAGGAATTATCTGGTTAGCTGTCAGCCAGGGAAAGCCCCTAAATCCCCACTCAGAGCTATGAAGCCTGAGCCAGGAGGTGCCCTGCAGGTGAAGAGCGGCTGGGCTGCCTCTTCCTACCTTTCCACCAGGTCACAGCAGCATGCAGGAGACCCTGTGACTCCTGTGGTCAGATCTCAGTTGGGGGATCTGTCTGGTTATAGCAGTGCCAGTGCCTGGTAACTGGGGAGATAGAATGGGGAGGACCAGTCCAGACAAAAAGTCAAATTTGATTTACACAACCGAAGAACTCAGAGTTTCGGGCTGTTCCCTAATCTAGCAGCTTTCTCATCTGTAAGATCAGGATCATTTTGTCTTTCCAAGGACCTCACAGTGGTTGTGACAATTGATATTAACAAGTTTATGTATCTCTACAAACATGGATGGACTACAAGGTGCTCGTACCTCATTCGGTATCCATATAACCCTAAGGTGGGGTAGGGCAGACATCGTCATGGTGCTTGTATGCTGCAGAAGAACTTGAGGTTCAGTGACCAGCCCACAGTCACCCAGCCAGTCCGCTGCAGGGCTGGGACGAGCACCTTGTATACTCCAAGTATACTGCCTCCAAATTCCAAGTTTTGCAAACTTGGATGAGATCACCATCATTCTCAAATCTCTTCCTCTAAGAACTACATGTCCAATGTACCTTATCTAAAAAGCCACCAAATTCCATTAACACCAGACCTGTCCTATAAGAAATGCTAAAGGGAGTTCTTCAATCTGAAAGAAAAGGGCATTAATGAGCAATAAGAAATCATCTGAAGGTACAAGATGTATACTTACTATTGCTTACTGGTAATAGTAAGTATGCAGAAAAACACAGAATATTGTAACACTGGAATTGTGGTGAGTAAACTACTCATGTCTTAAGTGGAAAGACAAACATATAAGCTGATCAAAAATAATAACAACAACAACTTTTCAAGACATTGTCGGTACAATAAGATACAAATAGAAACAACAAAAAGTTAAACTGTAGGGAGACAAAGTTAAAGTAAAAAGTTTTTATTCATTTGTTTATGCAATCAGTGTTAAGTTGTCATCAGTTTAAAATAATGAGTTATACGATATTGTTTGCAAGCCTCATGGTAATCTCAAATCTAAAAACATACAACAGATAAATAAAATAAAAAGCAAGAAATTAAACATAACTCCAGAGAAAATCACCTTCCCTAAAAGGAACACAGGAAGGAAGAAAAGAAGGAAGAGAAGACCACAAAACAACCAGAAAACAAATAACAAAATGGCCAGAGTCAGTTCCTACTTAATAATAACATTGAATATAAATGGACTAAACCCTCTAATCAAAAGATGTAGGTGGCTGAACAGATTGAAAAGAAAGACTCAGTTATCTGCTGCCTACAAGTAACATATTTCACCTATAAAGACACACATAGATTGAAAATAAAGAGATGGAAAATGATACTTAATGCCAATGGAAACCAAAAAAGAGCAGCAGTAGCTATGCTTATATCAGACAAAATAGTTTTCAAGACAAAATCTATAAAAAGAGACAAAGAAAGTCATTATATAACGATAAAAGAGTCAATTCAGTAAGAGGATATAACAATTGTAAATATATGTGCACTCAACACTGGAGCACCTAGACATATAAAGCAAATATTATTAGGGCTAAAGAGAGAGCTAGACCCTGATATAATAACAGCTGGAGACTTCAACACCCCCCTTTCAGTATTGGGTAGATCTTCAAGACAGAAAATCAACAAAGAAACAGCAGACTTAATCTGCATTAGGAACAAAAAGGGCCTAAAGGATATTTATAGAAAATTTTATCCAATGGCTGAAGAATACACATTCTTCTCCTTAGCACATGGATCATTCACAAGGATAGGCCACATGTTAGGTCACAAAAAAGTCTTAAAACATTCAAAAAATTGAAATTATAACAAGCATCTTGTCTGACCACAACAGAATAAAACTAGAAATTAATAACTAGAAAAATTTTGGAAATTATATGAACACATGGAAATTAAACAATATGCTCCTGAATAACCAGTGGTTCATGAAGAGATTAAGAAGGAAATTGAAATATTTTTGAAACAAACAATAATAGAGACACAACATACCAAAACCTGTAGGATACAGTGAGCAATACTAAGAGGGAAGTTTATAGCTATAAGCGCCTACATCAAAAAAGAAGAAAAACTTCAAATAAACGTTCTAGTGATACACTTTAAAGGACTAAACAAACCAAGAGCAAACCAATCCCAAAATTGGTAGAAGAAACAATAAAGATTGGAGCAGGAATGAGTGCAAGTGAAATAATGCAAAAGATCAAGGAAATAAAGTTTTTGAAAAGATAAATAAAATTGACATATCATTAGCCAAAATAAGAAAAAAATGAGAGAAGACCCAAATAAATAAAATCAGAGATGAGAAAGGAGACATTACAAGCAATACTGGAGAAATACAAAGGATAATTAGAGCCTATAATGAGCAACTATATGCCAATAAATTGGAAAACCTAGAAGACATGGATAAATTCCTAGACACTTAAACTACCAAGATTGAACCATGAAGAAATCCAGAACCTTAACAGACCATTGACAAGTAACAAGACAGAAGCTGTAATAAAAAGTCCCGAAGCAAAGAAAAGCCCTTGACCTGACGGCTGTACTGCTGAATTTTATCAAATATTTAAAGAAGAATTAATACCAATCCTATTCAAACTACTCCAAAAAAATAGAAGCAGAGGGAATACTTTTAAACTCATTCTACAAGGCTGGTATTACCCTGATACCAAAGCCAGATAAGGACACATCAAAAACAAGAAAACTATAGGCAAATATTCCTAATGAACATTGATGGAAAATTTGTCAACAAATTACTAGCAAACCAAATTTGACAACACATTACAAAGATCATTCATCCTCACCAAGTGGGATTTATCGCAGGGATGCAAGAATGGTTCAAAATATGCAAACAAATCAATGTGATACCTCATAACAACAGAATTAAGAACAAAAAACATATGATTATTTTAATCAATGCTGTAAAAGCATTTGATAAAATTCAACATCCCTTCATGATTAAAACTCTCAAAAAACTGGGTGTAGAAGGAACATACCTCAATACAATAAAAGCCATATATGACAGACCCACAGCTAGTATCATATTGAATAGGGAAAAACTGAAAGCCTTTTCTTTAAGATCCGGAACAAAGTAAGGATGCCACTGTTACCACTGCCATTCAACATAGTACTGGAAGTCCTAGCTAGAGCAATCAGATGAGAGAAATAAAAAACATCCAAATAGAAAACAAAGTCAAATAATTTTTGTGTGAAGATGTGATATTATATTTGGAAAAACCTAAAGACTCCACCAAAAAAAAAACTATCAGCTAAAAAAATTCAGTAAAGTTGCAGGATACAAAATCAACACACAAAAATCAGTAGCATTTCTATATTCCAACAGTGAACAATCTGAAAAATAAATCAAGAAAGTAATCCTGTTTACAATAGCTACAGATAAAATTAAATACCTAGGAATTAACCAAAGGAATGAAAGATCTCTACAATGAAAACTATAAAATATTGATGCAAGAAATTGAAGAGGACACAAAAAATGGAAGGATATTCTATGTTCATGAGTTGGAAGAATCAATATTGTCAAAATGTTTATACTACCCAAAGCCATCTACAGATTCAGTGCAATCCTATCAAAATACCAATGACGTTCTCCACAGAAATAGAACAGAGAATCTTAAATTTATATATATATATGGAACCACAAAAGATGCAGAATAGCCAAAGCTGTCCTGACCAAAAAGAACAAAACTGTAGAAACCACATTACCTGACTTCAAATTATACTGCAGAGCTATAGTCACTAAAACAGCATGAGACTAGCATAAAAACAGATTTTGAGCTCCTTATATATTCTGGTTATTTATTAATCCCATAAAGACCAACAGAACAGAATAGAGAACCCAGAAACAAATTCATTCTTCTATAGTGAACTCACGTTTGACAAAGGTGTCAAAAACATATATTGGGAAAAGGACAATCTCTTCAGTAAATGGTGCTAGGAAAACTGGATATCCATATGCAGAAGAATGAAACTAGACCACTATCTCTTGCTGTATATGAAAATCAAATCAAAATGGACTGAAGACTTCAATCTAAGACCTCAAGCTATGAAACTACTACAAGAAAACGTTGCAGAAACTCTCCAGGACATTGGACTGGGCAAAGATCTCTTGAGTAATACCCCACAAGCACAGGCAACCAAAGCAAACATAGACAGATGGGATCACATCAAGTTAAAAGGTTTCTGCACAACGAAGGAAACAATCAACAAAGTGAAGAGACAACCCACAGGAAGAATGGGAGAAAATATTTGCAAGCTACCCATCTCACAAGGGATTAATAAACAACCAGAATACATAGAGCTCAAACAACTCAATAGGAAAAAAAAATAGTAATCCAATTAAAAATGGGCAAAAGACCTGAACAGGTATTTCTCAAAAGAAGACATATAAATGGCAAAATAGATATATTAAAAGGTGCTTGACATCACTGATCATCAGAGAAATGCAAATCAAAACCACAGTGAGATATTATCTCACCCCAGTTAAAACGATTTTTATTCAAAAGACAGGCAATAGCAAATGCCAGAAAGGATGTGGAGAAAAGGAAATTCTCGTATACAGTTGGTGGGAATTTAAAGTAGTACAGCCACTGTAGAGAACAGTTTGAAGGTTTGAAGGTTCCTCAAAAAACTAAAAATAGAGCTTACATACGATCCAGCAATCCCACTGCTAGGTATATACCCCAAAGAAAGAAAGTCAATATATCAAAGAGATGTCTGCACTCTCATGTTTATTGCAGCACTGTTCACAATAGCCAATATTTGGAAGCAACCTAAGTGTCCATCAATGGATAAAGAAAATGTGGTACATACACACAATGGAGTACTATTCAGTCACAAAAAAGCATGAGATTCTCTCGTTTACAATAATGTAGATGCAACTGAGGTCGTTATGTTAAGTGAAATACATCAGGCACCGAAGGACAAACTTTGCATGTTCTCACTTATTTGTGGGAGCTAAAAATTAAAACAATTTAACTCATGGAGACAGAGAGTAGAAGGATGGTTACCAGAGGCAGGGAAGGGTAGTAGGGGGTGGAGAGGGAAGTGGGGATGGTTAATGGGTACAAAAAAAGTTAGAAAGAATGAACAAGATCTAGTATTTGATAGCACGACAGGGTGTCTATAGTTAATCATCATTTAATTGTACATTTTTAAATAACTAAAAGAGTATAATTGGATTGTTTGTAACACAAAGAATAAATGCTTGAAGTCACGGATACTCTATTTACCCCATTGTGATTATTACACATTGTATGCCTACATCAAAATATCCCATATACCCCATAAATATATATACCTATGTACCACAAAAGTTAAAAACTAAAATTAAAAGCTCCCAAACCATCATAGCTATCAGGCCCAGAGCCAGGTCGTGGAACTGTTACGGGACAATCCAGCCAGTCTCAGCGTCTCTGCCCACACACATCTTCCCTTTTGGTGCTTTTCCAGAAATTAACTTTTGAATTCAACAACAACCACGAGTCACTCGACGAGGAGCTGCACCTCCTCATCGTATCCTGCAGGAAGTTGTTTTACTTCAAAATCTGGGCTTTCCTTGATGTTAGGTTTGTGGAGCGGATCCTGAAGAGTCAGAAAGAACGGCAGTGTGCCCTGCGCACACTCAAGGTAAGCGGCCCCCAGGCTGGTTCCAGGAGGTGGAGTGGGGGCATCCGGGAATGGTACTTCCGCTCTGGAAGGAAGGGCAGAGATAAGGCAGTGAACAGAATCATCTGTTCATTGGAAATCAGCAGTTTCACAGAAGGGAATTTGGAGCTCTTTTTTCTAGCAGTTGGGTTTGGTCTTTTCCTGATTCTGCCAACATTCCTGATTCAACAACTGTATGTGTAGATCATTTAAGTTGTTGTCAAGCCCTGAAAAGTGTAGTCACAATGTGTCTGTGTGTGTGTGTGTGCATGCTCATATGTGGATGTATTTCTCTGTTGGCACAGGTGAGAATTTATACAAACAGATATGAAACGAATGAAGAGGACAGGACCCTGCGGGAAATTTACAGGAAGTATAGAAAGCTGATCGACTCAGAGCTTAGCTATTTCGTCATCGCTTACCCTATGATGTAATGAACGCTCTACAGATGAAGAAAGCTAGGAGCACTTTGAACTTGAAAATCATTTCTCTTAGAACTACACTCGGGCATGGCCAGCCCTTTTGCTCCTCTCTCTTCCCCTCCTCTTTTTTTTTTTTTTTTTTCTTTTTGGTCAGTTCAATACCAACACGAGCAGCCCAGCAAAGGCTGAGACTGCCGATGACCTGAAGGCTCCAGGTGGCTTTAAAGCACTATGTTTACCAACTATCCAGGTGTAATTTCTCTTTTTGTCAGTTTTGCTTTTTGACACCCTCACTCATCCACAGAGCTAAAAACCCAAAGCCACTCAGAGTAGCTTCCTTTTTGTTTTTTTGCTTTTTTTGAGATGTGTTGATGAAAAGACTCAAACTGTGTAAAATATTTTTAGAGATTTATTCTGAGCCAAATATTTTTAGAGATTTACTCTGAGCCAAATATGAGTGACCATGGCCTGTGACACAGCCCTCAGGAGGTCCTGAGAACATGTGCCCATGGTGATCAGGGTACAGCTTGCTTTTATATATTTTAGGAGGCATGAGACATCAATCAAATAGATTTAAGAAATATATTGGTTTGATTCAGAAAGGCGGGGCAACAAAGCAGGGGCTTCCAGGCTGTAGGTAAATTTAAACATTTTCTGGTTGACAATTGGTTGAGTTTATCTGAAGACCTGGGATCAACAGAAAGGAAATGTTTGGGTTAAGATAAAGGATTGTGGGGACCAAGTTTTACTGCGCAAAGGAAGCTCTCAGATAGCTGACTTCAGAGAGAGCAAGTTGTTAAATGTTTCTTATTGGACTTAAAATGGTCCCTGGCTCTTAGCTGATTATCTCCTGGAACTGGAAAGGAAGGAAGGAAAACAAAAGGGAAAGGAGATTCTCTATAGAATGTGGATTTTTCCCACAAGAGACTTTGCAGGGCAATTTCAAGGTATGACAAGGAAATATATTTTGGGATAAAACATTTTGATTTTCTTCCTTGTTATGCCAGAGTCAGATTGGAAAGTCACTATATACAGGGTTAAATAAAACCCATCTGACTAGAATTTATGGCTTGTAGGGCATGACTCCTCCTCAGACCCCTTCGATAGGAATTTGGGCAAGATTTAAAAATAAATAAATAAATAAGAGCTTAGTCCTCAGACGGAGTCTCACTCTGTTGCCCAGGCTAGAGTGCAGTGGTGCGATCTCAGCTCACTGCAACTTCTGCTTCTCAGGTTCAAGCAGTTCTCCTGCCTCAGCCTCCAAGTAGCTGGGACTACAGGCATGTGCCACCATGCCCAGATAATTTTGATATTTTTTGTAGAGATGGATTTCACCACGTTAGCCAGGCTGGTCTCCAACTCCTGGCCTCAAATGATCCACCTGCCTCAGCCTCCCAAAGTGCTAGGAGTACAAGCGTGAGCCACCACACCTGGCCCCAGAGTAGCTTCTTACTAGAGGACCCTGACTCCTGCTGACCTGTGCACCTGAAAAGGTGTGTGTAACCATGGAGCAAATGGAATCACGTTTTCTACTGACTGACATTATCAGTTTATAAATCCTTTGTATCTGCTAATCTTCACGTGGGAACCTCCTGACATTGACATTGTCTGGGCCCGATCTCAGATGCATAGAAATCTCCAGACTGCCCTTGGATGAAGCAGGAAAAGCCCCACTTTTAGGAGGAATCTGCTCGGAGCTGGAACTCCCTCCCACAGAAGGAACTCAGCCCCTGACTTAATGGCATCATGGACTCGAATCTCCTGCCTCTGTTTTTGCTGTGTCTCCTTCATTTTTCCACAAATATGCTGGGACTGGGTCTGTGATATTGAACATAGACGTAAATGGTCAAGTTTGATGGCTCCAAACCTAGCGTTTGGAGCCAGGTGTCTGGGGTTGAGTACTGGCCTGCCATGCACTTGTCTTGTGCCTTTGGGTGAGAATTTAACCTCCCTGAGTTTCAGCTTTTCTGTGGGTAAATGAAGAAAAAAAATTAATTACATGCATTGCAACACACACACCTGGCCTGTGGTGGCTTTTATCTTGTTTAGTATATGAAGGAACAGGCTCTAAGGAAGTTAATTTACCCCGAGGCATACAGCCAATTTGTGGCAGAACTAATAACAAAGTCTCCAGATTTAGAACCCAAGACTCTTTCTTCCACCCAAACAACAAAATGCGAAGAACCCATTCCCTCTCCCTTCCTCCACCCAGCTTATCTCAGACAGATATTAAAGTGGTCGCTGGTTGAGTGTTTACATGCTAGATATCAATTCACCTAGTTTCATTTAATCCTCACACAGCTCTAGAAAGTAGAGACTACTGTTATCCCTCTTTTAGAGGGATCCTGAAGGGTTGCCAAGTCTAACCTGCCCCATCACGCATTTAGGAAGTGCTGGAAGGGAGTGTCAAACCCAACCCAATTCCAGAGCTCTGCTCTTAATTCCTACATACTATCCCCCACAGCAAGAGGATTTGGGGTCTGTTGTACCGTAATTCTACTAAGTGAAGAGCATGGTTGGAAGAGAGGATCAATGATAATAATAAATTCCTGAGCCCATGCCATAGACATTGTATTACTTCTGGTCCTTTGAGGGTTTTGTGCATGCGATCGCATAGAGTTCTTTCTTTCAATAGATATAAATTAATAAAATCCCAGAACACTTTTAACAAGTGACATTTCAGATTTTGTTTGTCTTGCCTCTTGTGTGCTGTGCCCATATAGTTGCTTAGCTGAGGTTTTCGGAAGTGAGAAGTGTTGGTGACATTGTCAGACAAAGGATTTGCAACTGTCATAGACTCACCATCCACCACATGGGACTCACAGGTGGCATTTATTCACGAACAGACCTCAAGGACTCCAAAATACTGAGGATTTTCCATGGTATCCAGAGATGATGAGGGAACAAAGGTCTGTACCAGCTTGAGCAACAGGCACCCGTCAATACGGCTTGTTACTGACACGTTAATCTCCATGGCAATGTAAAGCTATTCTTTCCTTAAATTTAACCATCCCAACAAATTTGAGAAATGCTAACTCCCTCCAATAAAGACTTTGTGAACCTAATTGAGATCGTCCTTTTAAATGCCATTTATGATATGAGGCAGGCAATGGGAAGCATTTTATAAGTAACTTGTCTTCTTTAAGGATTTTAAAGAATATATGCCAGGGACTGACAGCCACAACTCACATAATCCTCAAACCAAGCTACCCTGGGCTCCATAATGACTTTATTATGCAATTGGTATGAAGGTAAACCAGGAAAAAAAAAAAAAAAAAAAAAAAAAAAAAAAGCCGGCTCAGGGTTTTTAGGTGTTACAGACTTCAGTGTTTGGAATACAACTAGGTTGATAGCATTCTGCTAATTCCATTTCTGGGCTAGACTAGATACTTTTCAAAGTCTCCATTCACAGCTCTAAGGTTTATGCCTTCAAGACACACATTTTTTAGGGCTGTAGGCCAAATTGAAAGAAGCCAACCTGCTATTTTATAATGTGGACTGTAGGCTTGCCTGTAGTAAACAGGGAGATGTTTCACTATTTCTTCTCTGTCCTATCAGCTTTTCTCAGCCCTTGAGGCAGTGTACGTATCAGCAGACGGCAGAGGTTAGTCAATTTCTTTTCAAAGTCCAGCCAAAGATAAGCATCTTTAAGCCTCTGTCACACCACTGCACTCCAGCCTGAGCAACAGAGCGAGACCCCATCTCTAATACAAATAGACAATAGGTAAAACAAACATAAGCCTCTACACTTCTTGACTTCTTCCTCCAATACTCTTTTGGAATTGCTTTTGGCAAAGTGTCATTGGTGGCTGCCTAATTGCCACATCTAGAGGATGCTTTTCCTTTCTCAGCTGACTCTCTGGAGCCTTTGACCTGCTGACCTAGTGCCTCAAAAAGTGGCACCCAAGGCCGGGCGCGGTGGCTCACGCCTGTAATCCCAGCACGTTGGGAGGCGGAGGCGGGCAGATCACGAGGTCAGGAGATCAAGACCATCCTGGCTAACACGGTGAAACCCCGTCTCTACTAAAAATACAAAAAATTAGCCGGGCGTGGTGGTGGGAGCCTGTAGTCCCAGCTACTCGGGAGGCTGAGGCAGGAGAATGGGGTGAACCCAGGAGGCAGAGCTTGCAGTGAGCCGAGATTGCGCCACTGCACTCCAGCCTGGGCGACAGAGCGAGACTCCATCTTAAAAAAAAAAGTGGCACCCATGACACCCATGCTCTCCTGGCTTCCTCCAGCCCCTGGGATGTTTCGCCCAACCTGAGAGTGCTGGTGTTTCTCAAGACTCAGCCCCTCGGCGGCTTCTACCACCACCTGTCTGCAGATGTCTCCCAACCCTCTTGCTACAGCCAGACCTCTCTCCACCCATAGGCTCCTCATACTCAGGGAGAGAGCTTGGCCCCTTGGCTCTCCCGCCCTCACCCTTATTTTATTTTATTTTATTTTATTTTATTTTATTATTTTATTTAGACAAGAGTCTCACTCTATCGCCCAGGCTGGAGTGCAGTGGCACTGTCTCGGCTCACTGCAACCTCTGCCCCCCAGCTTCAAGCGATTCTCCTGCCTCAGCCTCCTGAGTAGCTGAGATCATAGGCACTTGCCACTACATCCGGCTAATTTTTGTGTTTTTAGTAGAGATGGGGTTTCACCATGTTGGCCAGGCTGGTCTCGAACTCCTGACCTCAAGTGATCCACCCACTTCAGCCTCCCAAAGTGCTAGGATTACAGGGGTGAGCCACCGTGCCCGGCCTTCACCCTCGTTTTAGAAGCCCTCCTCCTCCTACATTCCCTCTCAGCAATCCATTCACCCTGCTACTCAAGCCAGAAACCTGGGAGCCACCCTAGATCCCACCCTGTCCCTCGCCCTGTATAACAAATCAGTCTCCAAGCCACTTAGCCCCCAGACATTTCTGGACTCTGTCCCTTCTTCACTATTTCTACATTCCTGTCTTAACTC